GGCCGGGAACCCCTCGGAACCGTCCGCGTTCACTGGCGGTGGCAGCGGCCACTGCCGCGACTGTCACTGGTTATCCCCAGCCACCGCTCTTGCACTAGCCCCTGCTCCTCCTCCTTCCGCCGCCACCGGCGCGTTCCCGCGGCTCCCATAGCCGCTGCGGCGACTACTGCAGCGCCCGCTGACCCGAACCGACGTTATTCTCCCCCTTCGCAATCCGGCACAGCCTAGCTCACCTGCCCTGCTGGTGCGCACGCCCACCTCTCAGCCTCGCGTGCTGATTGGAAAGCACAGTTCGTGCTCGCAGCGTTCGTTGGCTAGTCCCATTGTCTATCACTAGGGGGGCGGAGAGTCAGCAGAGGTCTCCACCCCCACCGGAGAATTGCCGCTATCTTCAGGTTTGCCTGAGAGTGCGAATTACCGGGAAAGGAGCATCACAATGGCAGCGCGCATGCGCAAGGGGATTCTGGTCCTGGTAGTTCCAGTCAGCGCCGCAGCAGTCCTCCAGCCTAGAAGAGAGACGCAGGGTGTCGAGTACTGCGGGTGTGGTTCACTCAGGTGTCCTCCCCGCTCAGCCGCTAACTTGGTCACAGGCAGGGTTCAGACCCCAGGGCTGGGCTTTGTGAAGGAAAATCTGAAATGCTTTGTCACGATATGAATTCCAACTCGGAGGCAGTCGCCACGCAGGGCCGCGAACTGCGAGACCTGTCGGGCTTCGGGGACCCGCACCTCCTCAGAGCCTCGCGATGGCGCTGTCCCCGGGGCTCCAGAGGTCAGCCGGGACGGCCCTTCGCTCACATCCAGGCTTTCTGAGAGGAGTAGGGCAGGTGGATCCGTGAGCTTGGGGAGCAATTTTTTTTTTTTTTTAAACTATGGTACTAGGGCCCTGCAACCCAGGGCCTTTGCACGGAGCTACAACTCCAGGGGTTTTTTGCGGGGGAGGGGTCGTTGGGTACCAGGGATCAAATTTAAGGACCTCGCACTTGCTAGGCAGGCACAGTGCCACTGAGCTAAATCCCTGGCCATCTCTTTTGTTTTTGAGACGGTCTCACTAAATTGCCTAACCTGGGATCTAACATGAGATCCCCCTGTCTCAGCCTCCTAGAGTGGTGGGATTACAGGCATTCGCTACCACCAAGTCCATCTGTAAATGTGTATTTAGTGTTCATTGTGTTAGTTCTCTTTGGTGAAAGACGCGCTCTCTCACATCTTTATCGACCAATTTACAGACAGAAAACTCAGGTTCAACTTTCCCAAGGCTCTGCAACTAATTAGTGAAGAACTAAAATTCGGGTCTCAAACCTCCTGTGTCCAATGCTCTTTCTACTTCATAATCACAATAACTCCCAGGAGTTTGCCATGGACTGAAAGGATGCAATGAATTCTAGGCTTCACTTTAATTTTTTTTTTCTGCAATCAAGTGACATTACCATTAAAGCCGATTCAAATGTAGAAAAGTCAAATATGAACCTATATTCAGTCTCAAGACTGTTCTTACAGAATCAGTTTAATCTTATTCAGGAATTGCCACAACTCCTTGACATTCTTTAAAAACAAGAGGTACCCTACTGTTTGTCACGTTCAGATTTTTGGACAAAAAGCAGAACAAACTGTACATTAAAGGCGATTGATGGTGAGGTCATCTTGTTCTATTCAAATACAAAGAATTTGCCAAGATTTTTTTCTACTGATTGGAACCTCGAGTTGCTTTTTTCCTGTTACTTTGTCTAAAAGGATATATATAATTCACTCCACAGCAATGGTGAGGTATGAAACTTGCATAGAAAAGAATTAAGATTTTTGTCAATATTTTTGTTTAAAAATTTAAGTTTATGAGGGAAAAATGCCCAAATTATTTCATGTTATATTTAGCAATAGAGCCTACCTCTTTCCCTGGTCTTTTCATCTTAAGAATTTTTGTCCCAGAGACACATTTTTTCAGTCAGGATAATTGCAAAGTAATATATTATTCAAGAGCTGGTCTTAGAATTCAGGAATCCCCTCTGAGGCTTTTTTTTTCTTTTTCTTTTTTAAAAATTAATTTTGCAGGGCCAGGGACTTAGCTCAGTGGTTCTGCTGCCTGCTTTGCAAGTGCAAAGACCCAATTTGCTCCCCGGTACCCCCCCGCCAAAAAAAGAACTGCACGTGTTCACATATACTTATAATCCAAGCACTCTGGAAAACTGAGGCAGGAGGATGGCAAGTTCGATTCCACCCAGGATGTTATGGTTTGTATCTAGATGTCCCCACAAAGCCTCATGCAGTCATAGGTGAGGCTTTTTCAGAGATGCCTGGATCTAGAGTGAGTGTTTGTGTGTGTGTGGCTAGAATTGATTCATGGTGCAATGCTAGGATGAGTGGCACTAGGATTAAGGGTGTGAGTGCTACCTGCCCTAAGTAATCTGGATAAGATAACGGGGGCAGAAAGACACTGTTAAAGTCCCTTGGTGCTTTTGCTGTCTTCTTCATGCAATGAATTTATGTCTTCTCTGTGATGCCCCTCTACCATGCCACTCTGCCTTGGAGCCAGCCAATTATGAACTGAAACCTCTACAAACTGTGAGCTAAATAAAGCTTTTTCCCTTTAACTTTGGGTGTCTGATATTTTGTCTCAGCAATGAAAAAAAGTAACTAAGACGCAGAGTAACTTCTCAATTTAGTGAGAACCTGTCTCAAAAAATAAAAACGGGTGTTTGCCCAATCTGGGGTGTAGGGTGTAGCTCAGTTTATAAACTCTTGATTCAATCCTCATCACCAAAAAAAAAAAAAAAAAAAAAAAAAAAAGGTCCCAGCTGATACCCTTTTTATGTAGCTCTTTCCATACTAAATTGGGCTAGCCTATTAGTGAAGTTTCCCAGAAATGAAGGGTGTTAATGGTGTGTACGCATTAAAGTTAGTCGAGATGGTCTCTTGAACCAGCAACCTTGAGAGAGGTCTCTGGCAAGGAGCCCACTTTCCTGGACTCCCTGGGATACTGGCCCTTTAGCCCTGGTCAAATCTTCAGATGACCAGAGACCTAGAAGGTGTATTAACAACCACCTTGTAAAGCACTCAAGCCAGAGTCACCCAGCTAAGGTGCTCCCAACACCCAGACCCACCAACACTGTGATAATGTTTAGGGTTCAGTCCCCAGCACCAAAAATAAATGTTTATTGCAGCCTTAAGCCTTGATTGGGCCTGTAGCAATAGGTAACTAATATAGTGAGACTTCAGAAAATAAGGCAAGAGAGAAATGATTCAAGTACAGGTGTATCCTGGTGAACTCATCCTGAAAGAGGCTCTGATTCAAACATGAATCCTACAGATGGTCAGATAATAAAATTTAGATTTACATCAAGGAGTCTCCACACAAGGTATAATGTTTCTTTCAACACAGCTTCTTCTTTTCTCCTGGTATTAAATAGCATACTCAAGAATACTTTTCCTTTCCTGCCCTTCCATTTATGTCCTCTACCTATCTTGGGGCATTGTTGTTGTTTTTTGTTTGTTTTTTTGTTTGTTTGTTTTTTGAGACAGGGTCTCACTATGTAGTTGAGACTGACCTGGAACTCACTATATAGCCCAGGCTGGTCTCGCACCCACAGAGATCCTCCTGCCTCCATCTCACAAGTGCTGGGATTACAGACGTGCGCCACCACACCCAGCTTGTTTTTGTTTTTTGAGACAAAGTCTCAATACAGAATCCAGTCTGGCTTTGAGCTCACCAGCCTAGGCGGGCCTCAAACCCCCGTGATCCGCCTGCTTCGGCTGCCTAAATATTGAAATTATAGGTGTGCACTACCATGCTAGCTAGACACTACTTCGTAACTTCTTCCCCATCTTGGAAGCAATTCAGATGGGTCATTATTCATTCTTTTTTTCTTTTCTTTCAGATGGAGTTTTACCATAGTGTCCTTGTGTCCTCAAAGTCTTTTTTTGGGTGAGGGGGGCTACCACCAATCAAACTCAGGGTCTTGAGCTTGCCAGGCAGGTACTCTACTGCTGAGCTGCATCCCTGGCCCAGGCTTCGAAGCCTTGACTCTCCTGTTTCAGCCTCCAAGTAGCTGGGATTATAGACACACACCATCGCTACACCCAACCTAACTGGGTCATTTGTATAGCATGATTATCAGGATAGTACCACAGTGTGAAAAACAGACTCCTGCCCCTTTCTTTTTCCATCTTTCTGTATAAAAAACAAATCTCCAGTCAAGGCATGGTAGCCAATGCCTTTAATCACAGCACACAGAGGCTGACACAAGAGGATCATAAATTCAAGCCCAGCCTGGGCAACTTAGTGATTTAGTAAAACCTTATCTAAAAAACTATGTTTTTTTAATTTTAAAAATACTGGGATGTCAGCCAGGCATGGTAGTGTAATCTGAGCATCCGTAATTTCAGCAACTGGGAGGCAGGAGGGTCGCCTCGAGTTTGAGGCCAGCCTGGGCTACATAGTGAGTTCAGGGCCAGCCTGAACTACAAAGGGAGACCCTGCCTCAAAAAACCAAACACTAAAATAAGATAAAATACTGGGATGTAGCTCAGTGTGAAGACCCTGTTCAATCCCCAAAATAAATGAATAATTTTTATTTTAAAATTTTTATTATTTTTTAAGAGGTTTTTTTGTTTGCTTGTTTGTTTTTTTGTACTGGGGATTGAACTCTCGTCCTTGCACTTGCAAGGCAGGTGGCAGAACCACTGAGCTAAATTCCCAGCCCTGATATAAGTTTAATATAAATTTTAAAGAAATACAAGAATCATAGAAAATACACAAGAGGTAATATGCCAGTTGTAGGAGAATACTCGACATCTGTGGGCCATGAAGCTCTGAAATTCTGACAGGAAAGTCACTAAAGAAATCAGAGTATAAATACAGTTACATACAAGGGTTTACAGTGTGTACACACTTGATAAACTGAAGTAGCAGAATGTGAGGCTGTTTAACTATACTCCTTAGGTGAGCCTCCAGTGAAGTGTGGAGAACCAGATCCACTGATCACGCATAGGTGATAGCCTTCTGCACCCCAGCACATAGAACTGATCTTAACAGGATCTTTTTTGGTACCATCAAACCTATAAGGGAAATCTCCTCCATGTGTATAAAATCAGTTGGGCTCCAGATACACTCCATAAAGAAAAGCCTCCATATTACCAGGTCACTATTACACTACTGTTAGAGGAGATCATCTGATCAATTTAACAGCTCCCATGTTGTTCCAAACATCAGGATACTGTTCTGCTGTTAGCACTAATTTATGAGATAGCAGCATGGCTCCAGTGGTGTTACAATTTTTTTTTTTTTTTTTTTTTTTTTTTTTTTTTGGTTCTTGGGATCGAACCTGGGCCCTTGCCCTTGCAAG